CCAACATCAAAGGGCTAGACTTGATCCTTGGGAGAGACTTTCTCAAGAAGTTCAACCCCGAGATCAACTGGGTCACCCGCACGGCGAGTATCTACGATCAACACAGAAGAGTTCCACTTCCGAGTTGGAGCAACATGGGAGATATCCCGGAGGAAACTCTTGCACGCTTCGAGAAGGACATGGAGCGAACCATGGCAGGGTTCGTCGCACTGGTTACAGACAAGGATGAAGGAGAGAAGAAGACACCTGAGCTTCCACGTGCTATCCAGAAACTTTTGGAGGAGTTCAAAGATATTCTCCCTGAAGACCTTCCAGAACAGTTGCCACCATATCGAACCCACCAGCACGAGATCGTCGAAGAACCTGGTTCGAAACCGACCTTCCAGGCACCATATCGACTCAGCCCTACCAAGCTGACCGACATGAAGAAGCAGATCGAATACCTCCTAGACAAGGGACGCATTTGACCATCGACATCACCATATGGTGCACCAGTGCTCTTCATGCCAAACTTGACGGAAGCTTACGCATGTGCATCGACTAATGAGCTCTCAATAAGCAGACGATAAAAAACAAGTATCCGATTCCACGGATCGACGATCTGCTTGACCAGTTTTGGGGAGCTACGATATTCTCCAAACTTGATTTGAGATCAGGATATTGGCAAATCCGGATGACGGATAACTCCATCCACAAAACAGCGTTTCGGACACGATACGGATCCTACGAGTACCTCGTCATGCCGTTCGGTCTCACCAACGCACCCGCTACATTCCAGGCCGAAATGAACCATATTCTCAGGCCTCTACTCGACGAATGCGTGGTGGTACCTAGACGACATCCTGATCTACTCGAGGGACATGAAGCAGCACATGGAACACCTACGACGCGTCTTCGAGATACTTCGACGGGAGAAGTTTTACGTCAAGCTATCCAAGAGCGAGTTTGCCTTGAAGAAAGTTCAATTTCTTGGACACATGGTGAGCGCTCAAGGTGTACATGTGGACCCAAAGAAGATCGAAGCAGTACGTAAGTGGAAGTTGCCAGAGAACATGAAGGAACTTCAACAATTCCTTAGCTTTGCGAACTATTACAATCGGTTCGTGCCACAGTATGCGAAGATTGCTACACCTCTCACCAATCTACTGAAGAAGAATGCACCCTTCAAGTAGGTGCATCAGCAAGCCATGGAGCAGTTGAAGACCGCACTCACATCCGCACCCGTACTTATCCTGCCACATCCAGAAAAGGACTACGTTATCAAAGCTGACACTAGCGACCAAGCAGTTGGAACAGTCTTGATGCAAAACCAAGTGAAAGGACTACAACCAATCGCTTACCTCAGCAAGAAATTGCACGGGGCAGAACTCAACTACCCGATTCACAACAAATAGGCCTTAATGATCATCACCGCATTCAAGACATGGCGATGTTACCTCAAAGGAAGGAAGACCACGGTACATACCGACCACTATAGTATGAAGTACCTAAAGACACAGCCTACTCTCTCCAGACGACAGGTCAGGTGGATCGACTTCCTCGAGACTGCTGTAACAGAACGGGGACTCCAATAATGCAAAGCATGCCGCAACAGGAGAGACCCCGTTCTTCCTCTGTTACGGTCGACATCCGCTAACTCCACAGCAGCCAACAATAGCTGCAACTGTCCAACCCGCGCACGACTTCGTTACCACAATGCAACAGCTTTGGGATCGGACACACAAGCGTCTACAGGACATACAGTCTTCACAGAAACGCTCGGCCGATCACCATCGCTGTGATCATACCATTACGGTTGGTGACCATGTGCTTCTTGACACATGCAACCTCAACCTCGGTCACCTTCCATCCAAGTTGCGACCTCGCTTCTGCGGACCTTTCCTCGTAGAAAAACAGGTCACTCCAGTCACATTCCGCTTGCGCCTACCAGCTACTTGGAAGATTCATAACGCCTTCCACGTGCAGCTTCTTAAACCCTATCGGGATCCAAATAAGTTGTACACGGGACGCCAACCTCCACCCACCTCCAGTCCTCGTGAACGATGAACCCAAGTACGAGGTCGAATCTGTGCTTGCGCATCATCGTCGTCCGCATGGTGCCTTGGAGTTTCTCATACGCTGGAAGGGCTATGATCCTTCTGAGGATAGCTGGGACTCTGAAGAAGACATGACCAACGCCCGACGTTCTCTCCGAGACTACCTTGTCAAGCAGGATGTTACATCTACCACCCAGCTATGAGGGGGGGAAATGTGAGAGTACGCCGACGTTTGACATATTTCTTATTTCTATACTTTTTCTGTATCTTATTCTCCTTATTTTCCTCTTTCATTTGCACTTTATTTCACCTCAATCGGACTACTATTCTATTTTCTAGAGCTTTCCGATTATTTCACTTATTTTGTATTTTCGGCACCGACAATTACATTATACGGCACCGACAGCACCGACAGTGGTGTACAAGGCGTAATCTTGCCATAATCTGAAGTGCAATGGGCTTGCGTGCTTATGCGCACTAGTGATTATGAATTTTAGAAGAGCGTGTTCCCGAAGGTTCGGATTATATGCTGTTTCTATGTATTTCGGTTCCTTCTCAGCCATCCCACGTTCATCGCATCCCATCCGCTCAGTACCTCTTGTCCTCCCATTCCCCCTCGCACCATCCCCTGCTACCACATTCATCTCATCCTCTCAGATCATCCCATTTCCCCCATTCCGTCCTCCCATCCCATTCACCCCATCTCCCCCCGCTCATCCCAATCCCCCCATCCCCGTCCTCCCATCCCATTCATCCCATCTCCCTCATGCCATTCCCCCCATCCTGTCCTTCCACCCCATTCATCCCATCACCCCCCTCTCATCCCATTCCCCCCATCCCATTCCTCCCCCATCCCATTCATCCCGTCCCCCCCCCCGCTTATCCCATTCCCCCCGTCCCCTTCCTCCCACCCCATTCATCCCATCTCTCCCCGCTCATCCCATCTATGGGGTGCCACAGACTGGTACGGCACATCATCTAATTCATTTTGACGATGTGCTGCTCAATTCAGAATGTCCAGTTCTATCATGTGCTGTTCAAAGCAAAATGTCTTCCTGCCATAGCCCTGACTCCTCTCATACCCCCCACTCCCGTATCACCCCGGATAGTAGCGCATGTGCGCTTATAATAAAATTAGCCTTTTTTAGGGGTGGCGCTTGTAATTGAGTAACGGCCATAAGCGCCGGCGCTTATATAATGACAAATACAGAAATACAACTTATACGCACCAAATTGCACATTTCAGTCTCGCAAGTTCAATCGAATTGGAATTTTACAGCGTCTTGAATCAGAATTGCGCGAGGCGATTCTCTGACGCTGCACAGAGCTTTGGCACGTGAATTTGCCCACGTGCCAGCTCATCCTGACTGGACGCGCAACCAGTCAGGCCCACAAAAGTCAAACAAAGTGAAATTGGGTGCTGAGTTGCTTGAAAATTGAATTTCGCTACCGTTTTTATCAGTGTTGGAAAATAAAATTATGCATGCGCTTAAAAATAAATCACGGTTTCACAGGGGGGGGGGCTTATAATCGAGTTCTGACCATAAGCGCCATGCTCCAGATAGAAGCGCCGGCGCCTTTAATCAGACGGCACATATATCTGGGGCCATACGGTACCCCCCACTCCTCTTATAACCCCCACTCCATACCCCCCACTTCTCTCATACCCCTCACTCCTACCCTGACACATAAACCCCACTCCTCTCATACCTCCAACCCCCCCACCCCACACCTGCCATACCCCCCATTCCTCCTCTCATACCCCCCACTCCTCTCATTACCCAACTCCTCTCATGCCCCCCACCCACTCCTCTTGTTCCCCCCATACAACCCATACCCACCCTTCCCCTCATACCCCAAAAACCTCTCATAACCCCCACACCTCTCATACACCCCACACCTCTCATACCCCCCACACCTCTCATACACCCCACACCTCTCATACCCCCCAATCCGCTCATGCTCCGCCTCCACTGCTCATACCCCCCATGCAGCCGCCAGCACCTCCCATCCAAGCCTCCAGCAGTTACACTTCTTTCAGCTCCTTCTCTGGCGTTTCCTATCTTTGCACCTGGCATGGTGTTCAGGTGTTGCTATGGATTGCCAAGTAACTGCCGTGTAGATGAAAGGCTTCTTGCTGTTGTATCCAAGCAGCAGCAAGACGCCTTTCATCTACAAGCATCAAAGCTCGCCTTTTTTTTCTTCCGTACTCCTCTGAGCAATGGCATCATCTTCGTCCCTGGTGCGGCCTCTCAGCACTCAGGTCTCTGCCACACCTCATGTATTGAGAAGCTGCAGTTGCTTCTTCTGCTTGCTGCCTTTCATCGTTGCTTTCCTGCCCTTTCCTTAGCAACTTCAGCAGCAGGGGGAAGGTGGGAAGGCAGGGAAGGTGGGAATGCAGGGAAGGTGGGAATGCAGGGAAGGTGGGAATGCAGGGAAGGTGGGAAGGCAGGGAAGGTGGGAATGCAGGGAAGGTGGGAATGCAGGGAAGGTGGGAATGCAGGGAAGGTGGGAATGCAGGGAAGGTGGGAATGCAGGGAAGGTGGGAATGCAGGGAAGGTGGGAATGCAGGGAAGGTGGGAATGCAGGGAAGATGAAGGCTAAGAAGAGGCAGAGCACACTGTCTGGAAAGGCGTCTCATTGAAACAAGCCACTCCACTGCCGTGAGTGGCGACGTTGGCCTTGCGCGTGCCGAATAGGGCATGTTTTGCCTGTTGTGCGTGCCTAAGAAGGGAAAATCGTAGAGTAGACGCATGACAACAGTGAGGGTATGGCCGAGCAGAAAGTTGCGCGCGAATTAAGGTTGCTCCACGCTTTTGTGGAAGGCACCATGCGCACCCACCCAGATGCACCTCCCACCACCATCTTCCTCTCCCCTCCATCCTCCTTTGCCCACCATCCACCTCGCCCCAACATCCACCTCTCCCCACCATCCTCCTCTCCCCACCTCGCTTGCTACCTCACTCACCACCTACTAAGGGAGGAGGCCAGGAGGGAATGGAAACGAGTGGGTGTGCCATCGCAGCCCCGGGGGGCAGGGAGGATGTAGGGCGAGGAGAGGTGCCATGCCATGCCATGCACGTGGTGATGCGAAGGGAGAGGTGCACTTGATGATGCAAAGGAAGAGGTGCACGTGATGATGCAAAGGGAGAGGTGCACTTGATGATGCAAAGGAAGAGGTGCACGTGATGATGCAAAGGGAGAGGTGCACTTAATGATGCGAAGGGAGAGGTGCACGTGATGATGCGAAGGGAGAGGTGCACTTGATGATGCAAAGGAAGAGGTGCACTTGATGATGCAAAGGGAGAGGTGCACTTGATGATGCAAAGGGAGAGGTGCACGTGATGATGCGAAGGGAGAGGTGCACGTGATGATGCTAAGGGAGGAGTGCACTTGATGATGCGAAGGGAGAGGTGCACGTGATGATGCGAAGGGAGAGGTGCACTTAATGATGCGAAGGGAGAGGTGCACGTGATGATGCGAAGGGAGAGGTGCACTTGATGATGCAAAGGAAGAGGTGCACTTGATGATGCAAAAGGAGAGGTGCACTTGATGATGCAAAGGGAGAGGTGCACGTGATGATGCGAAGGGAGAGGTGCACGTGATGATGCAAAGGGAGGAGTGCACTTGATGATGCGAAGGGAGAGGTGCACGTGATGATGCAAAGGGAGAGGTGCACTTGATGATGCAAAGGGAGAGGTGAATGTGATGATGCAAAGGGAGAGGTGCACGTGATGATGCGAAGGGAGAGGTGCACGTGATGATGCGAAGGGAGAGGTGCACGTGATGATGCGAAGGGAGAGGTGCCCGTGATGATGCGAAGGGAGAGGTGCACGTGATGATGCGAAGGGAGAGGTGCACTTGATGATGCCAAGGAAGAGGTGCACGTGATGATGCAAAGGGAGAGGTGCACTTGATGATGTGAATGGAGAGGTGCACTTGATGATGCAAAGGAAGAGGTGCACGTGATGATGCAAAGGGAGAGGTGCACTTAATGATGCGAAGGGAGAGGTGCACGTGATGATGCGAAGGGAGAGGTGCACTTGATGATGCAAAGGGAGAGGTGCACTTGATGATGCAAAGGGAGGAGTGCACGTGATGATGCGAAGGGAGAGGTGCACTTGATGATGCAAAGGGAGAGGTGCACTTGATGATGCGAAGGGAGAGGTGAACGTGATGATGCGAAGGGAGAGGTGCAATTGATGATGCGAAGGGAGAGGTGAATGTGATGATGCAAAGGGAGAGGTGCACGTGATGATGCAAAGGGAGGAGTGCACGTGATGATGCGAAGGGAGAGGTGCACTTGATGATGCAAAGGGAGAGGTGCCCGTGATGATGCAAAGGGAGAGGTGCACGTGATGATGCGAAGGGAGAGGTGCACTTGATGATGCCAAGGAAGAGGTGCACGTGATGATGCAAAGGGAGAGGTGCACTTGATGATGTGAAGGGAGAGGTGCACTTGATGATGCAAAGGAAGAGGTGCACGTGATGATGCAAAGGGAGAGGTGCACTTAATGATGCGAAGGGAGAGGTGCACGTGATGATGCGAAGGGAGAGGTGCACTTGATGATGCAAAGGGAGAGGTGCACTTGATGATGCAAAGGGAGGAGTGCACGTGATGATGCGAAGGGAGAGGTGCACTTGATGATGCAAAGGGAGAGGTGCACGTGATGATGCAAAGGGAGAGGTGCACTTGATGATGCTAAGGGAGGAGTGCACGTGATGATGCGAAGGGAGAGGTGCACTTGATGATGCAAAGGGAGAGGTGCACTTGATGATGCGAAGGGAGAGGTGAACGTGATGATGCAAAGGGAGAGGTGCATGTGATGATGCAAAGGGAGAGGCGCACGTGATGATGCGAAGGGAGAGGTGCACATGATGATGTGAAGGGAGAGGTGCCCGTGATGATGCGAAGGGAGAGGTGCACTTGATGATGCGAAAGGAGAGGTGCACTTGATGATGCGAAGGGAGAGGTGCACTTGATGATGCAAAGGGAGAGGTGCACTTGATGATGCAAAAGGAGAGGTGCACTTGATGATGCAAAGGGAGAGGTGCACTTGATGATGCAAAGGGAGAGGTGCACTTGATTCAAATGGAGAGGTGCACTTGATGATGCAAAGGGAGAGGTGCACTTGATGATGTTGCAGCGCCCAGGCAGATGTGGTTGGGGTAAGAGCTTGAAACGTGTAGAGCTTTGGGTGGGAGAACGGAGGGTAGTACGAAGGAGTAAGATACAATGAGGAAATTAATGAGGGAGGAGAGGAGAGGTAGGGCGCGGGGAGGTGCACACTGTGGTGCCCCACCATTGCACTGAACGATTTAGAAAGGTGTGCCGTGGCGGGAGGGGTGTGGGGAGGTGCAGGTGAGAGGGAGGAACGAGCATGGGCAAGGGAAGGAGAGAGGAGAGAGCTGGCAGCTGTAGCGTCAGGCCATGATGCGGTGGACAAGGCGGGGAGGGTAGGAGAGTACGGGGAGAAAGGGAGGCACATGACGATGCACAAGTATGGGCCTCCTGTCTCCTTGCTCCTGGTTTGTAGCTTGTGCCTTGAGCAGGAAGGGGAGTTGGGCACATGTGCGAGTAGGGCACACCGTGCCCCGCAAAAGCTGCTTGATACGAGCGATTACGGTGAGCACTAAAGCCGAAGCATAGCGGGAGAATGATGCAACAATGGGGTAATAGGGTGATGGGGTTATGGGGCGTTGGGAAGATGGGTAATGTGTTAATTGGGTGTTGGGATGATGGTGTGATGGTGTGATGGTGTGATGATGTGATGGTGTGATGGTATGATGGCGCGATGATATGATGGTCTGTTGAGTGGGATCAAGGGATGGACTCCTCCACATTGAAAGGGTGGACACACAAGACAACGCGGTGCCGATGGCAGCGGCGGCACGGCAGATGACAAATGCGAGCACAGACCTGATTTGGTACAGGCAGGTTTGATACAAGGCACCATTGACCTCAATGTAGAGACTCGTAATCGCTGATCACTTGAGTGTAGACGGTGGGCAGGGGATGCATGCTACAAACTGGCTGGACTATGCACACCTGGTGGCTGACTGGCGGGGAGATGGAGAGAACAGGGAGGTGGATGCGGGATACGTGGATTGGACCAGTGTGATGGACGCTGCTGGCTGCACTGTATGCACCGGGGGAGGGATAGCAGTGGGGGAAGGGTAAGGGGATAGGGGAGGGGATGAGGAAAGGGATGGGAAAGAGAAAGGGATGGGGATGGGAAAGTGTTAGGTGAAGGGAGTGGGAGGACAATGATGGAGAATAATGGTTGCAATATGCACACCCGGACGGTGATCAAAGGAAGGGGGAGCAATGGAAGACGTCAGGAGGGTGGCGGAGAGAGGCAAAGAGTGATGGGAGAGGGGAAGCACACGGACCAATGGTACTAGGGTGATGGTCCCTGTTAATCGCGAAACGCCACCTAGATAACTAGCACTGCCTTAGGGCATTCAGCCTCTTGTGGATCATCCTTAAACACAACCCAACCAAGCGACACTGACCTGGATATAATGTTGCAACGTACTGAACTGCAATGTCTATATGTATAAGACAACTCAAACGGGCATAGAGGTGGGTCGAATTGCTCGGTTTGGATCGACCTGGGGTGTCGAGCGGCGTCAAACCCATTCATGCCAAACCAAAAGAATTTTGATGTAGAAACCTAGACATGAGGAAAGGAATTTCACATATTACGCTGAGATCCACAGGATATGCTGTTGCTGGACAGGTTTGGTTTGAACCTAGGTCTTGTTTCGACTCGATCGAACCGGTTCGATTAGACTAGTGGACTGGTTCGACTCTATTTCGAGACTTGCTCAACCATACCTGAGATGAGACTCACCTCACAGTGACCTCACAGTGACATGTTTGTGACCCGCAGGTTGCCCAGGTAGTCTGTGCGCCCACGCCTTGGGGGTGAGCGTCCGTGCAGTGGTGGAGGGGTTGCGGGAGGAGAGGGAGGGGAGAGGGAGGGAGTGTGCGGATGGGATCGGAGAAAGCGCTGGTGCAAGAGCAGTGTGGCGGCGCCGTAGGGGCCAAAACCGTAAGAGAAGTGGCGGGAGTGAGTGCAGTGAATGCAATGAGTGCAGCGAGTGCATTCGAGTAGGCGAAGGTCAGGTGGGAGTAAGGTCAGGTGGGAATAACATGTGCGGAGGTGGCATGGTGACATGGTTCCGGCAAGGCATGGCGGCGTGGTCATCGTCCAACTTGACACCTGGTTTTACCACGCACATCGCACGCAGCAGGCCCAGGCATTCTAATCGGACTGCATCGATTCAAGAGGGACAAGCTGCGACATGGTTTAAGGTAGAGCCTCTTGTCAGGGTAGAGCTTGTTGTTAGGGTAGAGCCTGTTGTAAGGGTCTGTTGTCAGGGTAGGGGATTGGGATTGGGGTCAGGGAGGAGTAAGGAATGGGTAGGAGAGGTTTATGGGACAGGGAGAAGGGGAGAGGGTAAGAAGAGGGGGAAGGGAGAAGAGGGCAAGCACAAAGCGAGGGATAAGGCAAGGGGGAGTGGTTAACAGAGGGGGAGGGTGTAAGTGAAAGGGACTGTGTAAGGGTATGGAGATGGTCCTAAGGTGGTGTCTTGGCGAGCAGTGGGTGTGCTGTGCAAGTGGGTGCGAGGGGGCATAGGACTAGCCAGCAAAAGTGGAGTGGAGTTGGAGGGTGAGGGATGAGAGGAGGGTGAGGGATGAGAGGAGGGTGGGATGGGAACGGAGTAATTTGGCATGGATGGGTGAGAAGGGAGGGTTGCCTGCAGGGTGTTGGGGAGGGTCCTCTAGAACTGCCCTGGGAGCTCCAATGCATGCTCCAATGCATGCTCCAATGCATGCTCCAGTGCATGCTCCAGTGCATGCTCCAGTGCATGCTCCAGTGCATGCTCCAGTGCATGCTCCAGTGCATGCTCCAGTGCATGCTTTAGTGCATGCTCCAGTGCATGCTCCAGTGCATGCTCCAGTGCATGCTCCAACGCATGCTCCAATGCATGCTCCAATGCATGCTCCAGTGGATGCTGCAATGCATGCTGCAATGCATGCTCCAATGCATGCTTAATGCATGCTCTATAACCTCCACCAGCCCCAGCAATAGCCGTCTCCTCAATGGCTTCTCACAGTCCTTGAAGTGACTCTCACACAATCCTCGTCCCACAGAGACTATTCACAGCTTCCCACATACAGCCTCTCACATCGCCCCCCTTCACCCCCCTTTCCTCTTCCCCCCCTCTTCCTTAATCCCACCCTCATTCAACCCCGTTCCACCCCCCCTTCACCACCCCTTCACGCCCCCTTCAACAGTCCATTGAGCGAATATCGCACGCGTCTCACCTTGTCGACTTGGAGCTTGTGATTTGCCCGCAAGCCCTTCAGCAGCCCCCCCTTCACAACCCCTTCGGCCTCCTCCTCGCCCTCCTCCCCGCGCTCCCCGCCGCCGCCAACGCCGCCAATGCTGCTTGCCCTGTCCCCGCTTGTCTCGCCGCCTGCCGCAACGTCTGCTGCCTGCGCCGCTCCGTCTCCCTCTCCTCTCGTCATCCTTGTTCTTCTCCTCTTGCCGCACGTTCTGCAAGGTTGCTGATTTCGCCAACATGGGGTGACTTTCTTATATTTTGCGGAACCTGCGGCGGCACTATCGGTCGCAGAAGAACCTTGGTACGCCTGCACTAGCACGATCCACCTCCCAGATCCTCACATTCATTCTAGCTTAGAGCCACACTGGTCAGCCTTTCCAGCGTGGCTCTAAGCCAGGTTCCAAACCCTCAGATTCATTATGGATACAGCACTCCCGTCCAGCAGCGCGCTGCTCGTGATGTTTCTCGGAGGCAGGGGATGCTGCCGGACTACCATAGCCGCGCTCATAACTAGAAATCCTTGGCAACGCAATCAGGATCAGATCGGTGCTTGCAACGGAGCAGAGGTGCGGCTATGGACGTTGGAATGTGCGAAGGAAGGGGACGACGTAATCCTTGCGCACCTCGAATTCGCACGGTGCTTCAGAACACCATCTGTTCTTTCTGTTAGGATCGTAGACGCTGTAGTCGACAAAAATCTGCTTGCTGTTGTCTTGCGTTCTCCTCGTTCTCACGATTCCAACGATATGCAGAGTGTTTAATTCTGTCAACGCTTCACTAACATTTGAGAGTTTTCTGTCTCACCAACGCTTGATGTTGTGTGATGCTATCATTTGCATTCACGTCTGTCTGCCTCCCATCATATGTTCGTACGTTGCATGCGTGGTGTGAGCGTGTGCAAGAAATTTGTGTTTTGTGTGGTTTGGATTTTCTGAGTGTGTGTGTGAATATGATCTGGCTTAAGCAGTTATCTGAAGTTACTCCTCTGCTCAAGTGCTTTCCGACGAGCCAAGGATCGCTTCAATCGGAGCACGAACGAGAAAGTTACGAACGGTTGAAGTTCGTATGCTCTTGAAATTCGGTTGTGGCGACTATGGGAAGTTGTGAGGGTGACTCTAAATGGGGTATAGACTTTTGGGGGTTGGGGAAATTCGTCACTTTACTGTAGTTGCTGCCAAGTGGTTGGGAGAAGCCAAACCAGGTTGGCAAGTGTGGCCAAGTTGGGTTGAGGTGGATTGTGGAGGTTGGGAAAGTGACAAAGGTCAAAGTGGGGTTCTTATAGGGAGGGAATATTTGTGCTTATGGGGTTTCCTTGGTTGGGGACTCTCTTGGGACCTTCCCTCTCGTCCTCCTCTTCCCTCCTACCTGGTTTGTAGCTACACCAATCCTTTTTGTGGAACTTGTGAGAACTATTGTGATTGAGTTAAGTTTCTATGGCAACATACCCCCTAGTGCGCCGATATTCATGACTCGAGATATACTCCATCATTTGATACGATTCAAATTGGGAAAGATAGCCTTGGTCAAGGGCTAATAGCAGCCACAACGAGACTGACAATGCCGCAGCCTAGCAGTGGCTGGTGACAGGGCACGATGACGACTCGTTGTTGTGGCTGATAGTAGAGGATGAAGTTCTTTCATAGCTTAAATGCTATCAGCAGCTACTATGGTTTTGAGGCTTACTAACGAATGGCTATTGATAAAGCAAGTGCACTCGGTAGATTGGTTGTACGAGACAATGACGACGACGATTCCGTCAATGCGGCGACGGGTGTGAACGATACTGTAAAAGCTGGTACGATTCCTTGCTACTAGGAATTGCCATTGATGAAGTTGGTATCTTTGAGAAGGCGGACTCCCGAAAATGAGCTAGCCAAACAGCGTTCGAAAATTAGGGTTGGATTCAGAGTGCTCCAAAATGAGCCCTAGCCTTTCTCTACGAGCACACCTAGCAAGGCGAAAACCTTGGCTGACGAGGTTTGGGGATAGGCGAAACCGAAAGCTTCGGAGGCAGTACGGGTCACCCTCGCTGTCCTCAACTCGACCGAGTCTCTTCCCCATCATGTTCGGGGCTTCGTACGACAGACACCCTGACGTAAACAGATCTGGAAACCGTGTTCGAATGAAAAGCAATCGGACCTCCTCAACAGTCTTTCCCTCCTACCTCAATCACCACCTCGAAAGTTCGATGTTCACCAATTACCTTGCCAAGCCTGGCGTGCCTAACCTACACCGTTTGCTTCGACACGGGAAAGCTCGAGTAGCTGTGCCAGAAACTGACGAGGTCAAATTTTCGACGTCCGATTATTTTTCCTCTGAAAAACTCCCAAAGAGAAAATCTTTGCGCACTCTGCACGGAGGTTCATCTGTCGAGATGTCCTCCTCTGCAGAAAAGTTTTCTGCAGACGCGCCCTTCTCTTCGGCGGAGTCCTTTGCAGTCGGACCTATCATGAAGTGGCCCAACTGTTAGCTGGTTCACTTCCGAAAGATGAGGTCCCGGGATCAAATCCCCCCTGCGGCGTATTAGCCAATCCCCACTACAAGGGACTACACAGGTGCTCATCTGGGAGTGGATATGACAACCTCGATACCCAGCGAGGCATGTAAACAAATGGGGAGGCGGGTTACGACCGACAGCCAGGGTAATACCAAAGGGGGTTTCCCCTAAAACCTTTACCTTTACCTTTACCTCTGCAGCTGGACCCAACTTTCACTTCAGCAAACATCCCTTCACCTCCGATGTAGAGAACAACGAACCCCCGCAGAGTCATTTCATTTTCAACGCCCTTCCCTCTCTTCCGCTCACTTCTAATCCCGCATTACATCTCTTCATGTTTGCTCTGCCATAGCAAGTTTCTCCCGGCGACTCGACCATCAATATTGTGGCACGGCAACCCCCACCTAGGCTGTTCACGCCGTTCTGACCTTCGCTTCCACAAGCGCAACAAAGCACTCTTATAGTTGCGAAATTGTCGCAGTGCGTCTGTGCCGGGTAGCATAAAATCACGGCATCATGAGGCTGTGCCATAGATCTACCAATCCGATTGCGAATTGGGCGATCAAGAAGGACCACACAACGACGATTATTTTATATAATGTGCGGGATAAGATGCGAGAGGGGTCAGGACAGGAGCGGCGTATGCATGCAGGGAGTATGGCGATAGCTGCAATTAATAGCGGAGGCTGGAGGATGAGCTTGCTCGCACACACACAGCAGTGCCGTAGCTCGGTCTCCACGGCCTGAGAGGAGATGGGTGTGAGTCACGAAAGGAAGAGAGGCCGCGGAGGT